TTATACATAGAGGTTATATATAGTATATATATATATTATAACTATTATATATACGTAGTAGTAGTATATATATATTATTATACTATAGTAGTATAGTAGAGTATATATATGTATATATATATATATATATATATATTTATAACCATTTAATAAGTCAAGTAGAGGTATATATATATATATTTATAACCATTTAGTAAGTCGAGTAGATGCATATATATGTAGATTTACTTTTTAAAGCACGTTTAAACCAGTTCAAACTTCTTTTTCCAATTACAAATATCATCACTTTATATAAAATGACAAGTTGAGCAGTTAGTAGTTATTAAAGTGTAGCAAACAGTTTTAAAGAGCAGTCATTATGAAGTTTTGTATATTTCAATTGCATTTCTTAGTATAGATGGATATATATTATACACATTCAGACATGTAACACAAAATATTAATATAAAAAGTATCAGCTGAACTGAAAATCGATTCCCAAGCCTTACACCGGTACCCTGTGTGTGTTTTCCCAGCCTTACACCGGTACCTTATGAGCGATTCCCAAGCCTTACACCGGCACCCTGTGTGTGTTTTCCCAGCCTTACACCGGTACCTTATGAGCGATTCCCCAGCCTTGCACCGATACTCTGTGAGCGGTTCCTCAACCTTACACCGGCACCCTGTGTGTGTGTTTCCCAGCCTTACACCGGTACCTTATGAGCGATTCCCAAGCCTTACACCGGCACCCTGTGTGCGGTTCCTCAACCTTACAGTGGCACCCTGTGTGTGTTTTCCCAGCCTTACACCGGTACCTTATGAGCGATTCCCAAGCCTTACACCGGCACCCTGTGTGTGTTTTCCCAGCCTTACACCGGTACCTTATGAGCGATTCCCCAGCCTTGCACCGGTACCCTGTGAGCGGCCCTCCACAGGAATGTCGGTACGTCATGAGAGTTTTATAACGGTTCACTACGTAAAATACATAAGCCTTATTCCTATTCTTGTGAGCAGTACCTAGCCGTATAAAAGTTGCATGGGCAAAAAAAAAAAAAAAAAAAAAAAAAAAAAAAAAAAAAAGGGGGTTTTTTTTGTTTTTTTTAATTAATAAAAAATAAAAAAAAAAAAAACAAAAAAAAAAACCCATTTTTTTTTTTTTTTTTTTTTTTTTTTTTTTTTTTTTT